GATGAGGTAGAACGAGATACATTTGTTCGCAAACACGATAATAGAGTACGAGAGTAAGTAATGGGCATGCCAAAGTTGAGATTGTACGTGCTTCTTTCCAATTTTAAACTCGGGCAACGGGAAAACTAAGTACACGCGAGATGAAGCGTCCTCACGATCAGAATGCAAAATGGTATTTCAGACCTTCACTGCCTTCTATTCTGGATCGAAAATGGGCTGCCTGTTCGCAACCAAGCAACAGGGACAGGGTAGCACGTAAATCTCCATATCAAATACACTTAGCCCTCACCCTATTCATTTTTATAAGATTTTAATAGTATTATAACTCTCTTCTTTAAATGAGAGGATATACTCTCCATGAAAATGAATATATTTTACATCGAAGAAAAAGTCACAATTTTACTGTGACAATATAATGAGAATATTATCTATAGACCTCATATGGTCCCTTTTCAAGGAGCTAACTATTTAGCATATATTTTACCGAACTCTTTACAATTGTAATGTGATGGACTATCACAGGGTTATTAAATATAAATAATAAATTTACGTAATTAAAATTATGGAAGACAGTAACAATAGGGGTATAGAAAAAAAAACCGAGGTGATCTTTATTTTGGTAACAAAACAAGGGAAGGACAACAGAATTGATAGTGGGGGAAAATACATTATATGTTAACAAATAATGCAGTGAAAGAAAACGTGAGCAAATTCCGTGGGGGAGAAAATAAATGATTATGAGCAAAGTTATTACGAGCAGAAAACCAAAGAATAAACAGATAATATATTGAAGTGTGTGTCACCAATTAGGAGTTAGATCGTGTGAGAAGAATCGAAGGATCGGCGCGCGAGAAACGAAGAAGAAATATGTTTTAGTATAGTTTCGCGCAGATGAGAGACAGATGAACGGCGCCCGAGATGAAAAAGAAACGGGGCAAACGATGTTTGGACTCAGTGGGAGTCACATGCAGGAGGAAAAGCTAAGTAGTTGCGGAAAAATATATTTGAATTGTTAGTTTGTAAAGGCAATATTTTAAGGTAGTAAATGTGCAATTAGCGAGGAAATGTAATTACATGTGTAGAGAACGCGAACACCATCGGAGTGGACCGAATTCTTTTGGAAATGGAAGCTGAATGGCAGCAGGACGACTTTCAAGATTGCGGTGGATCTGCGCAAGGAAAGTAGCAAAACGGGGAACATTTCTTTTTATTTGTATTTGACATTGTAGGATGACCAAGTGTTGTGTTAAAATAAAATTTATAAATTAATAATTACGAGGAAATTTGACATACATGTAATAAGGCTGGGATTTGTAGCGAGTATTAGATAATGATAGGAGAATTTATGAGAGGACATAAAATTGTTATTGTTGTTTTCCCAATAGAATATTTGAATCAATACATATAATTACAGATAAATACAGATAGAAATTTAACTGAAGTAAGTATTGTTAGTTCTGAATAACAACAAGAGTTCGCTATCCGTAGAAAATAAATAAAATAACTACTTTACGTAAATAATTCGCTACCGAGTATCTGTATAGAAGGCCTATCAGACCCACACATATATAAAATGTTGTCATGACGGGGCAATATAGGGATAACCTTAGAATAACAGTCGGCTGACATGTGGGTTTTAAAATAGTAAATTTATGAGAGTAAAAAAAAATTCTTAAATAAGGACGAATTTTAGTATGAAAAAAAATATCTTGAGTATTGTGATAAGTATAATTATTTAATCTTTGGCACTAGCGCAAAGAAGATGGTAAAGCATGAAGTACTTCGCAATATCAGTTAGCAAAAAAATTACTATATGAAACAGTGTGCAGACTAACAGTATAATAAGGCAGTTGCGCATTTTCAATCATCACAATTAAATAACGAAATAAGTTTATTTGCTGTTTTTTTAAAATAGCTTCCTTAATTAAGTTCAATCTGGAACGTTTCTGGTTAAGATCAAGTAGACCCACGGCACTATGTTGGGCTCTATTTGTACCACCAAGAAAATGCGCCATGTGCCAGAAATCATTTGGACTATTTATAAATCCATTCGTGCTGGCGGGCACGAAAGCTTAGTACGGATGGAGTCTCAACCCTGCAGCTTTACTCCATCGATAGCGCAGGCGTTACGTCATGGTTGTGACGTGGCGCCTCTATCGAACGCGGTGTGACGTGATCGTGGAGGCGTAAGGGTGGAGGGGGGGGGTGCGGGGGCATGAGACGGCACGGCCTGGCGCCGCCGGGGAACGCCAAGGCGAAGGTTAGCAGAGGGGAGCGGCTGTGCGTGTGATTGGCGCTGAAAGCGGCACTGGGGCTTGGCGCGGTGGTATGGCGCGGGGAGGGGCGAGACGCGGCAGCAAAG